CCGGCCCTGACATAAGCTCGGGTCCCCGCCCCGGGCCATAGACACAGCACACAGCCCACGACCTGTACGCGTGCACCCACCGCGCCGGCCGCTCGCCGGCCGGCTGACCGCTATCGCTGGGCGCGTAACAAACTAAACGGCGCTAGGCACAAATCACGACACTCTCTCTCTCTCTCTCTCTCTCTCTCTCTCTCTCTCTCTCTCTCTCTCTCTCTCTCTCTCTCTCTCTCTCTCTCTCTCTCTCTCTCTCTCTCTCTCTCCTTTTTGTAAACGTGTACTCTCACTCACGATCACCTCGTATTTGCCTACTCGTTCTCATCTATATCTAGATCGTCAGCACTCGGTTTCTGATTGATGGGTCTTTTAGCCGTTATCGGCTTATGATCTCAAACTTCTTTGATGCTGCTGTCTCTTCTTGTGTTACGCGCTCTCGGAAATTGATGCATTTACTCTTATCTCATCCTTCCTTCCTTTCTTGTTCTGGCGGTTCTCCCCTCCGTCGCTGGTTCATCTCTTCTTTCATCTGCACTGTCTCCTTATCTCGGTTCCTTCCGTCGTTCTCATCTCCCCTTCCCCCGCCCGTTCTCCCCTTCTCCCTCCCAACTTCCACTGGCTGTCGTCAGTCACGCCTTGAGGCCGGCTGACAGCGGTGGCCGCAGCACGCCCCTCAGATCGTCCTCTGTGTCCCGCCGCCCCCGCCGCCGCCGGCAGCCGCCGCCGCGCCACTCGCCCTTGATTAAACACGGCCGGATCAATTGAGGTCGAGCGGCCGCCCGGCCTTTTATCCCCTCGATCGCGCGTAATCTGCTCAATTTGTTGTCGCCGGCAGCGGCGGCGGTTGTGTCTATTTGTGTTTGTCGGCGCGCCGCAGCGGTTGATGAGGTCGACCGCGCGCCGCTAGTGCCGTAAAGTCAAGCGTGCGGCAAAAACAGCGCGCCTGCGCCGAGGCCGTCGTGCCGAGGCCGCTCTTGGCAGCATGTTTGAGCGCACGGCCTCCATAGCAACTCGGAGACGGCGGACGAGCTTATATCGGGATACACGGGCACTGCACTGACATCGACGAGATTAACTAGAGCTCACGCTGTGTATCGGCTTACCAACCGGGAAGGCGGCGATGGAGACGATGATACCGCTTTTACGTTGCCAGAACGGTGCGGATTCATCTTTCATACGCTAGCCACTCCCTGTCTTCTCATATGGCGATTGGTCTGTCCTTTTGTGGTCGGACATTTGGTCTGTCAATGATCGGCCATATGTTTTCCGTCATCAGTCAACCATCAGGCCGTGTTTAGACCGTCCTTATGCCGCCCGTATCACCGCCCAGGCCATCTGAAGTCTGTCGAGTCATTCTTTCCGTTGAGCGCCGGCATCACACAGATGCTGCGGCCGCCGACTTATGCTCGGGCACGCGTCTGTTGTGTGATTTCCCGAGGAGTCCCGTTTGATACCCGGAGTCTGTGAATGGGCACACCTCTCCCGCGACAGATGGGTGTTTGTGTTTCCTTTCTCCGCATTCAGACTGGATGGATGATTTGCTCGGCGCGCCGCCGCACACTCAGCCTCTCCCGCCGCGCCACTTGGATGATGCCACTTTCTCTATGCAGATTGTGACGTCTCATCTGTCGGCTAATGGCCTGGAGCGTGTCAGCGACAGTGGCCGGCGCGGCGGCGGCCGGTGCGCGCCAGCCCGTGTCTCCGGCCCTTCAGAGGCCCTCTGCAGGTCGTCACTCGTATGCAGATGGCGGCCGCGGCGCGCGGCGGAGCGGAGCGGCTGGCAGCGCGGTGCGGCTCGGCCTCACCGGCCCCACACCGACTCTGCTCGGAGCGCGGCGTCTCGAGACGCGGCGCGGCGATCGATGCGCCACAGGATCGTCTCGATTAGCGGCGCGGCCGGGATGAATCTGGCGCGGCCGACGGCAGCGACACGTCGCCACTCGTGTACGGGCGATCAATGGGCCGACGACGCGCCTGACACCTGGCGGACGGCACCGGAAGCTCGACCGTCCGGTCAGCCTGGGCTCGCGGCGCTGCAGCCCAGCCCGGACCATTTGGTGAACTGTCAGATAGAGTTGAACATTTATCTTGGCGGCTTTCCGGTTTCTCAGCAGGATAATAGGATTTTACTGCTGAACTCTGTCTTCGATCAATATTGCTCAGTAAACTGAATAGCGACCCCGGAGAAGGCGATTCGCCAGCAATAACACGATTTATTGCACCACAATGAATCCGATTTTTCGATTCATTTCCTATCTGGCGCCGCTGATGGGCTGTTTCCGTTTTCGCGCGGCGGGGTGCCGTACGGCTCTGGGCGGTCAGGGACCGTACAATTAGTGGTCGGTCGGGGCGGGGCGGCTAATGAGCTGAACGGAGACAGAGGGTAATGAGCCGCGACTGACCGCCCGGCTGCGGGAGGGCCGCGCGACCCGACCGCCGCCCTCACAGCGGCCCTCACAGCCGCACCGCGTCCCGGCGTCAGTCTGAGTAGAACTGTCCGGCTGGGTGTGGGGCGCATTTACTTTTGCTGATGACTGATGTCTATTTGCGTCTGAGTAAATTGGAAAATCGTTCGTAACATGTGCAGAATCCCTGTCGGACAGCTGTTGGTTCCACCTGCTGACGCCGTGCAGGCTGTCTCAACCGTAACATGTCTCCTGTTCTGTGTCTTCGTGGCTGGACTGCCTCCCACTGGACCTCCCCGGTCCTTGTACCGAGTCGTGACGGACGCTCTGCACAATCGTCATTGTTACCACGGCGATGGAGTTGGGACCGACTGCGGCTGCCAGCTCCGAGCGTCTGAATATCGCTCCGGAACGACCCTATCTGACAGGCCGGCCCAGCTGACGCCAGGCAATTTCGCAGTGTCATTCGCCGTGACGGCCTGTGGGCCCCCGAGTTCTGCATGATGGGTTCATCGCGCCGACAGTGCGGCCGAAATAACAGCGTGTTGCTCGGCGCCGGGCGCTGTTTTTATCGGCCGATTTCTGGAGCAAGTAGCCGTGACAAAGGGAGTGCGTCCGTTGTCAGTGTTTTTGTCGACGCGGCGCCGCAGAAGTTTGTGGCACCCCTGTTCTGCAGCCTCTCTGTGGTCGCTGGGGCGGTCTCTGTAATGCCTGACAGCTTTTCAAGGCGCGCACGCTTCTGCCGCTTTTTCCACACGGCTTACATGTCTTTGATGCAGTTTTTGTCGCGGCCAGTTCCCTCCAAAAACCAATTGACGCTGTCGGGTTGGGCCCGCGCCCCTGCCTCCCCTGTCCCGGTGGACTATGTTTTTATAATAGCTCGGCGGCACAGGGCGCGGCCCGGTCGCGGCCCCGCCGCCGCGCTGTCATCGCTATGCCGCTCGGCTCGCCCCCAGTTAAACCCGTCCCTTCCCGCTGCAAATCGGCGCCGCTCGCCGCTCGACCTATCTGTAAAAGGGCCTCTTAACTGGTCGGACGAGTGAGCTTTGTTCGTCGGAAGCGGTCGTCGACTGCGCCGGCCGCCGTTGCCGTCGGCTCCCGGCGCCCCGTGCAGCTCTCTTTGTCTGCTCGACGGAGTGGCCTGCCTGCAAATGAATCACACGTCGCGCCTTGCCGTGCTGACTTATGGCTGCGACGAGACGGCGGCGCGGCGGTGCGGTGCGGTGCAGGTGCCGCGTGGACAGTCGGGCCGCATCGCACCCTTCACCCGGCCCCGGCCCCGGTGCGTGTGCTACGCAGCTCCGCAAAGGTGTCGGCGTGCGGTCGGCTCCCGCTGGGCCCGGAACAAACCGCGGCGGAGCGCTCGGCCGACTGCGGGGAGCCCGCAGCGCCCGCTTTGGCCGGTGAGATATGTTTGTTTTGTCACGGCCGCCGATTTCAGCAGCTCGGCCCGTGTGCGCTGCACCTGGGCGCAGGCGGGAGCGCTGTTTCGGCGAGCTGTTACAGCCCGTCGGTCGATGTTTTGACGGATGTTATGTCGCGAGCGCGCGGGCGAGGTCGCGAGCGCTGCGCGACCTTCATGCTACGTGCTCACCGTCAGGGCGGTACGATGTGTTGGGCGTCTGTCACCGCCCCTCGCTGTAGCGCACCCTCACCTCCTGTCGGCACTGATTCACGTCGTGCTCTACCCCGGCGCCCTGATTCACTGGACGGTGTTGGAACTCTGTCCCAACACTCTGACTCACCCGTTAGTGTGAGAATCTTGTTCCCTGACCGACGATTTGTCAAGTCCCCTTCTGGAGCGCATACCGCTCGGGCGACCTGAATCACTCAGACTCTCACCAGTAGGTAATGATCGCCGGCCGGACTGACTCAGATCAGCTCACCCTCAGGTGGGGAGACACCTGCTGTGACTCACCCTGCCCGAACGTCCCCCTCTGATCCTTGTCACCCCGACATGACGTGCTACAAGCTGCTCTCACAGCCGGCCAACTTCCAGCAGCCGTGCCGCCGGTGACACTGTTCTAGCAGCTCGGGCTGTCGGGTTTACCGCCGTTCCCCTTGGAATTATGTAGTTATGTGGCCACTGAGGCGCCTTAGAGTATATCCAGTGGGCCGGCCATGCTCTGTCGTATCGTATATGTAGTGTGGCATAGCGCCTAGCGGCTTGTGTACCGGGGTGGTGTTCTAGCCACCCCTCCCCCAGTACCTACTCGTGTGAGGCCCCGTCGGCGGGTCGCCTGATTTCGTGACTCATCAGTGCCACGGCCCCGCCTGACTCAGCGAAAACCACCACCAGAAGATGCATGCCGTGTCTGATTCGTGCGTGCAAGAACTAAGTGGATGTGGGTATATATGATGTTGCTGTATTTGTGGTGGTCGGTGATACACGATCTTGATAGGCGGTTTGGACTCGGTGGCTTGCATTGAGTTAGTGAACAGGCTGTTGAATAAACCCGTGTTAGTATGCTAGTCATGTCAGCACTATTGTATGTAGAATGCGCGTTGTGTTGGTGGCCGCGCCGAACTGCGAGTTATCACGTTCGTCGTTCTAAACGTTCAGCTGAATGACTCTGACCTCGTATACCTTTTTGTTGGCAGACGTACCACCGACCTTCCAGGAGCAGCGATGCAATCCTCACAACAACCCCTTCTTCAAGGAACAGATGATGCAGGTAACTGGAACTGCAGGACTTATGGGAGCAGGTGTTAACTAGTGTATTGTGACAGAGGGGCTAACATTGCAGTGGAACGGCCTTTATGGAGGAGCTGTCGCTGGGTGGCCTAAGTGATACGTTATGCATGCTATGTGTTATGCATAGTGCTGCTTTCGGGATGCGTTGCTGGCAGGCTTTATAAAAGATTTCCGTGACCTGGAATAAGTAGATAGGTACCGAGAGGATATACATAGTTAGAGACGACTGGTTTACTGGGTGTGAGGGCGGGAGTCCAGCGGCGATGGACGCTGCTCACTGCTCAACTAATGGCGATGGCCAGATTGACAGGAGGCGGGGCGGGCTATGGCCGAGCCGCGCGGGTGTCGGTTCAGTTACCTGGTTCCGCCCCTCCCGACGGCCCCTGACACCAGTAATGAGGCGAACAGCGCCTACACTGCAGTGGCGGGTTTCCCAGAAATGTGACCTGACACCTCGGGGAGAGCCCCGGTGGCTAACGATCCCACTCCTGCAGTCACCTGCACCCTGTCCCAGGTGTCAGCCGTGCACTGCCGTACAGCTGCGGTCGGTTTTTGTGGTCAGGTGATATCCTCCTGTCAATCTGTTCCTGGTGATATCAGTGTGCACATGGTGGTCAGATTTGTACTGAAATTGGCTGAACAAGCTGGCTGGATATTTCATTATCTGTCTGACCCACAATCATGTGGCTTTATCCTGAAATTACTCGACCATGCTCTTTCATCCTCTGTGATGAGCTCCTCTTCCACAATTGGGCACAGCTCCCATCAGACGCAGTGCTGTGGACAGTGGTCCTTTTCTGACCACTCAGCCGCCACCGGTCAGCACTCCTCCGAGAGTGAGTGGCCACTGGTCAGCCCTCCTCCGAGAGTGAGTGGCCACTGGTCAGCCCTCCTCCGAGAGTGAGTGGCCACCGGTCAGCCCTCTCCCAGAGAGAGTGAGTGGCCAGCCACTCGGCGCTTCGATCGATCACCGGTCGCCACAAAGAGTGGCCGCCAGACGGACAAAGCGGCCGCTCACTCGCTCGCTCTCGCCCGCCGGCTGACCGGCGCACTTGGACGCCGCGCCGCCGCCGGCTGCGTCGTTTTTGCCGCGGTGCGGCGTGCACGCGGCGCACGAGACGCGGCGCACGGTGTGGTGCTCACAACGCTTGGCTGAGCGAGGAGCCAGCTGGGCTCGGAGTGAGCTCCGGGTGAGCTCACTCGGATGGTGAGCTACACCTGTCGGAGCTAGATAAAAACGGTTCCCTCGAGAGGCATAGCACGGCTGAGTCTCTCACACCGTCCGAACTCCGAGCTCCAGCTTTGAGGGAGCTAAGGCAGAGCGAGCTAAGGGCCCAGCGAAGCTGCTCTGAGCCCTACGGAGCATGGCCCAGAACGGAGCTGTGTCGCACGAAGTAGCTTGAGATAGAGTCAGCCGGCCGCGAAGCGCACTGATCGTGTCTGTCGCACGCCCTGGGAGCACGGGGTCGACAGAGGGGCGGTTTGAGGACGGTCGCGGTGACAGGTGGGCCAGTTGGGACGCTGAGTCAGCACACCCTCCTCCGCTGTCGCCACCGTCCAACGCCCACGGCCCGTCACTTGCCGGCCGCCGGTCGAGCGCGGAAATAGACTGGGAATGTCTGACAGCAGGTCAGGTGTCCGTGGCAGGCCGGCCGCCGCGGCTCGGGTCCGGGTCTGGGCGTCCCCAGTCCCCACGCCCGTCACTGCCCTCGGCGCGACTCTGACATCCAATTGGAAAGTGTCAAACCAGTCTCGATTGCAATTGGAAAGCGCTCGGAGATTGGATTGTGACGGGGCCGGAAGCCGGTTGTCGGAGCGACGTCCGGCGCCCTGTTTCGACCGGTGACAGACGGCTCGGTCGACGCGTCGGTCTCCGCCGGGCCGCGAGGCACGACTTCAGCCCAGATGAGCCCGCCCGGCGCTCCACGTTTCGCTCGGCGGCGCGTCGCGGCTGCCTGGCGTGCCGGTCCGCCCCAATCGGCTGCCACTCGCGCCGTGCGCAGCAATTGTCTGCTCTGCGGATGTTTGCGGGCGCGGCTCGACTGTGTGTTTGTTTTTCTGTCGCGCCAAGTGGCCCCGTTCATCACGGCTGTCGGGTGGCGGCGGCCGCCGGCGCGCGGAATGACAGAGCCTCCGTCGGCGGCCGGGGCTGGCGCGGCTGCAGCCGACCCGGCACCGGCCGGATGCGCGCCGCAGCGGCCAGCGACAGATCACGTGTTTGTTGTGTGGATCAATGATGTTTTGAAAGCGGCGAGCTGGCAGCAGGGTGATGGGCGGCGCGCCCCGGCCCGCCGACATGATACCCTGTTTGTGTCCGCGCTGTCGGTGATGTCATGTCGGTCTGACAGTGGTGATCTGTTTGCAGGCGATGGAGCAGATGAACATGCAGCAGCAACAGTTGCAACAACACCAACACATGCTGCAACATCAACAGCACCAACACCAGCAGGAGCATCTTCATCAGCACCAGCACCACCCAGCTCAGCAGCATCACCCGATGCAGCCGCAGCACCATCAACACCAACACCATCAACAGATGCTTCAGCAGCAGCAACAGCAGGCCAACTTCTTCATGGAGCGGGCGCAGGCGCCGCTGCCGGCCTCGGCGCCCGTGCCGTGGCAGCGCGGCGCGGCGCCCTGTCGCGCCTCGTGGGAGGAGGCGCGGCGGCGGCGGCAGGCGGCGCGCGGCCGGCGGCGGCTCGGCCTGCCCGGCCGCTCCTCGCCCTGTCCGAACGTCGACGTCCGTCAGCTGGAGCGCCTCTCCCCGCCCGTGTGCTCGTCGGCCGCGCCGCCTGCCTCCGCGCATCAGGCCGGAGGACTGGCCATGCCGAGCTTCCTGGACGATCCCAGCGGCTACCTGGCGCAACAGACGCAGCTGTTGAACGATACGATGCAGGAGGGACTCAGTCCGGTGCCGCCGCCGCCCCAGCAGCCAACGTCATCGATATCCCACCCGCAGATGTCGATATCGACAGCAGTGTCGTCAGCGACGCCAGCGTCGGCGGCGGTAACGACGATCACCACGTCTGCCGCGACGCACGCCGTGACGGAAACATCCACCGTGTCCCTGAGCGTGAGGACAGCGGAGTCGGTTCCTGTCGCCGAGTCGCCCGCGCCCCCACCCGCGCCGCCACCCGCGCGGCAAGCCTCACCATCACCTCCGCCGCCGTCGCCGCCGCCTACTGAGGCGCCCGCCGCGTCCCCACCGGCAGCATCGCCAGAGCCGGCGCCGTCACTGGTCGCGTCACCGCCGCCCCTGATGGCTCCGGAGGTTCCGGTCAGCGAGACGGTTGTAGAGGAGTCCTCTCCCGTGCCAGCTCCGGTGCCCACCCCGCCGCCGGCGGCGACCAGTACGCCAGTGTCCCTCCCGGCGGCGGTGACGCTGGCGGCTCCCGCGGAGGCGACGGCGACCACAGTGGCGATGGAGACAGCGCCGTCAGCGCCGATCTCGGCGCCGGCGGCAGCTCCGATCTCCGCGCCGACCCTGGCGCCGGCGGCTTCCACGGCTGTGCTGTCAGGCTCGGCACCGTCGTCCATCCCGCTGCCGCTGCAGCTGCCCGTCTCGGTCTGCATCCCGGTCTCGTCGTTCTCGATGACACCGGTCTCAGTTTCTATGTCAGTGGCCCTGCCGCTGGTACAGGGAGCCGTCACTAGTGTGCAGCACCCGAGCGCTGCCCGCAGCGCGCCCGGCCGGGTGGCAGCGTCGCGCGCGGCCGCCCCGCCGCCGGTGCGGACCTCGGTCACCGCCACACCGACCACCGTCATGGCGACCCCGCGCGCACCGTCCGCGACGCGGCCTTCACCGGCCTGCCAGCCGCGACGCGCCACGCCGCCGACTCTGGCTCCGGCGCCTCCGCCGCAGCAGTACCAGGTGCTGGGCCAGCCGGAGCTGCCGCTGGTGCAGTCTCTGCCGGCCGGACAGATCATCCTGCCGTCCGGCCAGGTGATCCTCACGCAGCCCATCCAGCCGATGCTGCAGTACGTGAACGCGTTCCCGATGCAGAGTCCGGTGCTGCTGCCCGGCGGCGGCCTGCTGCAGACGGTGGAGGAGCCGCGACCCGTGGCGCCGCCGCCGCCGCCGCCCACCTCTGGCCGCCGGCGGCGACGGAAGCCGCAGGAGCGCTCCGCCACGGTGGCCAGCATGCTGCGCGGCGCCGCGCCGCCGGCCGCCGCCGCGCCCGGCGTCATGAACGGTCTCCCGACTTTTGTGGTGGGCGCGGCCGGGAAGCCGCTGGTGCTGAGCTCCGGTCAGCCGGGTGTGAACTTCCTTCAGCCCCTCCTGCTGCCCGGCGCCGGCGGTCAGGTGTTCATCCAGAACATGTCGATGGGCGCGCCGCTGCTCTCTGCCGGCTCTGTGTTCCCGGTGAGCGCTGCGCCGCAGGTGGCCGGCGGCCAGCTCCTGCAGGTGGTCTCAGTGCTCGGTGACGCGGCGACTACGGCGGCCCCGGCGGCAGCGGCCGCTCCGCTGGTGGCTGCGCCGCCGGCCGTGGTCCAGACTCCGGCCGACTCGAGCACGCCGGACGGCGCCGGCGGCTGGCAGGGACGCGTCTCACCGCCGCAGGAGGCCGGCCTGGTCAGCTCCACCGTGGAACCGGCCGACTCCGACACAGAACCCGAGGAGACGGGCCGCGCGACGCTGAAGAGGAAGCGGCCTCATCCAGGTGCGTACGGGAAGGGCCGCGCGGGGAGGGTGTTTGTGTGCGGCCGGTCCGAGTGACGGCGAGTTGTTGATCTAGGCGTTTGGTTAATGGTTCCATTGTGCCTCTTGACGTGCGTTGAGAGCCGGCTGCGTTACGCTTGAGTGCCTTGTGAGGTATCATTGATGGCTTAGGCCAACAGAATGACGGTTGTTTCCAACTCATTGTGGTTTTGTCGAGCCGCTATGATCATGCAAATATGCTTATGTTAGCCCATCTTCCCTTTTGTCTTGAGCTGCTGTTTTTCCCGCATAATCTTGTCCCCGAAATTTGCTTCTCATCGTCTTCTCTCCCTTTGTTTTTCCTGCATAAATTGCGCTCGTCAGATAGCATCGGTGAGTGGCCGGGACGAGCGGCTGCTACTTTGTTCGACAGTGCATTAAGCCTGACAGAGCGGACGTAAATAACCGGCGAAGAGCGGCGCGTTTCGCTGTCTGGCTTCTGTTAGCCAGAGTGGGGCGCTCGCCACCGATACCACTGCCGCCCCCGTACAAATAGCTCAGCCAATGACGCAAATGGACGCGAAACCCGCTCGGGAATCCCGCGGTCGGCCGACCGGCCGCTGATCGATGCATCTCGTATTCTGTTATTGTGTTCTGTCAGAGTGTTTATATTGAGTGCTGCACTCGGCATGCTGATGAACGATAAGCGCGACCATGAAAGTTACATATGGCCAGTTCTAGGGAGTGGACCCGGATGTTTTCCGCATACGGAGCCATTCTATCAGACCTTAACGGCCATTTAATATGTCATGTAATCGCATAGCGATGGTCATGTCATTTTTACTGTCACTGCTGATCGCGGAACACGACACGTTTAGGACATTGATCACATTTAACATTCAGTTCGTGACCGCAGGCGACATTCCCGTGTACCCGCGCGCACCCGTTTGACCCCTGATGACCAGACCTCACGGCACGAGTAGCCGTACCATTCGCCCTGTTCTCCGTACGGTACGCCCCGGCCGCGTGTGACGTTTGTTCCCCGTACCCTCCGCAGACGAGCCGGCACAGACGCCGGGGTTCGCTGTCGGAGACCTGGTGTGGGGCTCCAACCAGGGACTGGACTCGTGGCCCGGCCAGGTCATCCAGCGCACTGATGTGCAGGTGAGACTTCCACACCTCGTTGCTCGAACTCGAACGCTTTCACGCCCCGCCGCGATTCTACGCCAATACATTGACGCCGCTACGGCCGCTGCGGTAGCGAGCGTTTCTATTACTGGGTTGAATAAAACCACAACGATACACTGAACGGATCCAGTTCCTCTGAAAGCCTCAGCGCGTCGCCGACCCGCCCGGTTGTGGCTGCCGGTGGCCCTATTTCGTATTCAGATTGTCCGCGGATGTTTCCGGCGTTTTGCATAGCGCTGTCACCCTCATCGTCTCTCTGTCTCTTCCTCCCTCCCTCCCCTCTCTCTCTCTCTCTCTCTCTCTCTCTCTCTCTCTCTCTCTCTCTCTCTCTCTCTCTCTCTCTCTCTCTCTCCCCCCGCTGTTGAGCGGTCTCTGACGTCTGTGACGGGCCGGTGGCCCCAGTGCGGACGTCAGACATTCAGCCAGCGCGGTAACCGGGCCCTGCACGGGTCGGCCGGAATGCGGAGACAGCTCGTTCGAGTTCGACATACGGCCACCCTTATCAGATGGTGTTGTTATTCGGGAAGCGGTACAAGAGCGACCCAACGCAGCGTGATGTGCTCAGGAAGAAACAGGCTGGGAGGCAGTAATTCAATGATGATACCATCGGAGATGCTGTGCGTGCCCGTGTCGACGATCGTGCGCGGCTCATAGCGCGGCACGTTTAAGGGCCATTTTTCTCGCGTGCTCATAATTCTCCGCTGTGTTATGACAGCGGTTCCCTGGTGCGCTGGTTTTCCACGCAATCAGAGGCGGTGGCGGAGCTCGGCGTCCCTCGCGTGTCGATGTGGAGCGCTGTATCACGCCAGTGGGTGGGATGTGGGCGATGGGGAGCGGACGGTGTAGGAGACACTGGGTGGGGTTTGGGATGACGGTGCGGAAAATTGTGCTATCGTGAGTTTGGGCGACCTCGCTGCTGTTGTGAGGGAGTGGGAGGCTGAGTGTGGCGTGTTCGCTGACGTGTCCGTATCCTGTTTGTAACCATGGGTGACGGTGTTTCCCTTGTGTGACCACGTGTCTTGTTCTGTCACTGAGTCCCGTTATGGTCGTTCGTTCTGATGTTTTCTGTCCCGCTCCGTGCCAGGATGCTCAGCTCGTTCTTTATTCACACATTCCGTGAAGCACCCGTATTATATAGGGATCCCTCAGTGTGCCCATGTCCCTTTATGTGACCCGTGTCCGTGCTCCGTGTATGTGTCTATGTCCCTTATATGACAACGTCGTCCCTTATGTGACCAATGACCTCGTCCCTAAACACCCACAGCAGTGTCCCGTGGCGTACCCTTGTTATAACATGTCCCCTCTGTGTTCGTGTCCCTTTATGTGACCGGTGTGTCCCCTCTGTGCCCACAGCCGTGTCCCGCCGGCCACGTGTGGGTTCGCTGGTTCGGCGACCACACCATGAGTCTGCAAACGGTGGCGTCGCTGCGCAAGTTTCACACCCACAACACGGCCAAACACAAAAAGTGAGCGAATTCCTCTCTACCTGAGCCGTCTCTGTAGTTATATCGAAGCCTGATAATGTTTTAATGGCTCACAGCCGGTGGCATGCTTCCAGAGACGAATATAGACCGTTATAATGCTGGGATTAATAAGTTAATGTAATTCCCGGGAGTTCTCTAATCGTTATGTGCCGTCAGTTGGAGCTCTTTTGTCTACCAACTTCCCAGAGTTCATTATGGTGCACTTCATCAGCATTAATCAAACACATTTCTGTTAGATGAAGCTGGAAATAGCTTTGCTAAGCATCTGTTGCTCGGCCGACCATCCATTTTGTCTGTGATTGCCGGCTTTGATTATGTCGCTGAGTTCGGCGTATTTGCTCGGAGACCTGGCGTCGCCGAGCCGGTAGCTGAGCTGTGAGAGAGCGGGCTAAATTGCCGCTGGTGGCCGTCCGGCCGCTGTATTGATCTGGACCGGGCGCTGCTTTGTCCGCAGGTCACACGCGCTGAACGGCAGCTTCGAGGAGGCGCTCCAGGAGGCGCTGACGGCCGTCAACCGACAGCGCAACTAGAAGTTGGCGATCCCGTCAACAGATGGCAGCTAATGCAGTGACCCAAGCCGTACAAACCCGAGTCGACCGGCCACGGGACTCTCTAGTCGAAACATGGGATCTGATTATGATCAGAGCGCCTGATGGCCGATGTTGTTTTCCATACTCTTTAAGAGTTTATTATTTGACACAGCGTCCTCATGGCGCTTGAACACTGTATCGTATTCGGCCTGAATAGGTGCTCGCGACCGCTCCTCTTCTGCGCGCTATCGAACGTTATGCGAGGCGCCCGGTGGAGGGCGACACGTGACCTCTTCCTTTTAGTGCTTTCAGCTGTTTTATTTGGTAGCCGTTTGATGGTGATATGTTGGTGCTGGCGTGCAGCGGCGCCCGAGACAGCCGCCGGCCAGTCAGCCCGAGTACAACGGTGTAGCCTGTGTTAGCCGGCGCGTCGCCCGCCCGCCGGCCGGCCGGCCCCAGTCTTGTTGTCGCCTGGAGGTGTTTAATGTCGGGAGCCAGCTCTCCTGTCAGTTCCACTCAAAGTGGCCTTATCATGTTGTTAAAGGTCTATAGGTGTGAGAGGCGCGGCGCGCGTGGCCCCTGTCCGGGGGCGCTGTATGGTTGTGGGGCGTGTTGGCCGGGCTGCTCCCCTCCCCCTCCCAATACCCGCTCGGTCCGCCAGTCTCGCCGGCGGACCTTCACCAGTGTTCGGAATAACATGCTAAATCGATCGGAGAGCCGGCCCCGAGTCGGCTGGCGTCGCTTCGCACTAATTCTGTGTTGAACGTCCAACAAATAGTATTATGTATGTGTAGTCATTGTTGGAATGCGTGCGTGTGTGTGCGCATGGCGTTGTGTGGTGGGAGGGTGACGATTCAAGTGTTACGGAGCCGATACTCGCTAGTAGCAGTAATATATCGCCCATTCAAATCCGCAGAGTTTGTGTCGATGAGTGAGTGTGAACACTCGACAGATAAGAGAGGTCTGGCTTCGTCAGACCGAAGGGGCCTAACCCAACAAAACAAACAAAAAGACCGATGTCCAAACGCGACACGAGTCGTAAGGTAGTCATGCTTTTAGTGTTGGGGACGATTTATAACATTGACACGGACTGCGGAGAAGTCCCTGCAGAAAACTGTCCTAGGCGACCGCCCTTCCACCTCCCATCTCGCAGCATCATTCACCTTAAGTTGCATGGCTTGGCCGTGGGGCTTGTTTTGATTGGGCTGGCATGATAGCGAAATGCGGGAGAGAATGTCGTCCCTTCATATAGTCGGTGACTGCGATTCACCTTTTACGGGTTGACCCTCAGTATAAGTAGGCTTGTGATAGGCTCGAGTAAGACATTTATTTCTCAAGCACAACATGCATCACCTGACGTTAACACATGGCCACCATTGCCTTACCCTTAACTGGCGCGCTTTGTCTGAATCTCGCCCATCTCGTACGCCATCCCACAATAAAACTCTGACAAAAGTATTTCCAAATGTTTGCTGAGTCTAAGACAACCTATCAACCCGGTCACAACGGCGTAATTGCCAGCTGCAATACCTATACCTATTGTAATGGCATACTTGGTACACCATGTTCGAGAAAGACATTCAAAATGCCTTGCGGGGTGGGGCTCGTCACCACCAACACACAGTCAACCTAACATTGAATAGTCACCGGCCTAGGGGAGCGTGTCGTCAGTTACCCGTCTGCTGCCACTCGGCAAGTTTGGGCTTCAGGTGATCCTTATACATCTGGTAGCACACGCCGGCCGTGAGACAGGACACGACGAACCCCTGCGCTGCCACGCGCATGTGGATGAGGTAGACGGACATCTTCATGTCCTTGGGTCTCCGGCGCAGGTTGTACAGGTTGTAGCCCACAATGCCAGTGAGGCCCACCAGCCCTGGGGAACGGAGACCAGACTGTACTCAGATGAGGTTCGCGAAAATTTCCGTAACATATTAGGGCCATCTGCTGGCCAAAAGTGGATGTAGGTATGGAGGTGCAGTTGGCCTTGCTTTCTAAGGTAAGAACCATTGGCTACGAAATGTTGGCAAAGTTTGTCAATGTTGACATATCTTTGATATATTCAATAAAGAACGTTAATCATAAGCCAATAAAAAGTACGATCAAATCCACGAAAAACGATTGCAAAACGATATAACTTGTGAATTTTGTTGATTTAGCTCAGCAGAAAGCTAGTAACTATGCATGGTCTATAAAAAAACAACTTTCGTGATCGCGAAAGCATGGGAGTCTCAACCAATACTGGCAATTTGGAGGACATCCATGCTTTCTGAAATACCGTTCGCTGATCGATCCATACAACCAATAATGTTTGATGCCCTGTATCTCTATGACTAGGCACACTCACTCTCAAGGGCCAATCAGGCACGAGTTGGGGAGATCAACAGCGTACAATTACCCCAAAGGAAGGAGCACGCTCACCTGCAACCATGAATGGCGATTCTTTGATCTTCCTAGCCAGCTTCGATTCTGAACTGGCTTCCGAGTCAAACGACTCACTGGGTATAACCCTTTCTGAACTCATGGTAACGGAGGTGACGGCTGAAAATGGAGGAAATCTGGTGATTATTCGGCCAACAGCAAGCGACAGGTAGACATGGAGAAACACAAAAACAAAATGGGGATGTCACTTGAAAATGTGTCAGTTGTCGATGGGATGTTCGATTCTCATAGGTCTTAAGTCCACTCCACTCTGCGTTAACATTCAAGAATGCAACAGCAGTCGGTAACCAGTCAGTTTGACCGGTCAAGGCCACCTGGAGCTGGTGGCCTGGTTGGTAAGTGGCCAAACCATATCCAAAGCAGGGGCTGCCGGCTGGATGGCTAGCACCAGCAGAGCAAGTGACTTTAAGAGAAAAAATCTGGTTGTTTGCAATGGCCAGTACCACCAGCTGGTAGCTCAGTTGGTGGGACATTGGATGCCTGGCGATGAGACAGAGAGTCGAGGTTTAAGTTGAAGTCACTCATGCCACAGGCACACCCTGGCTCCAGCCTCCACACTGGGAGGGATGGCCGAGGCCAGTCTGCAAAGTATGGCAATTTCGACGAGATCTCGCCGGTGCGGGCTTGTTCGGCTGGTGTGGATTTGATGCGGTGGACCAGACCAGATAGATAAGGAGAATCGAAGAAAAACATTGTTGGAGCTTCGACGTGCAATTCGGTGTGCTCTCGCGTTCAATTGAGTGTGCGGTGCAGTGGTCAGAGCGGACTATGCCAACGCTGGTCGTCTCATAATCACGCCCCCATGTTCGCACTGTTGGTCTTGGTCTTGGTCGTGGGTTAGGGCGCATAGCCTCATCGGGCTCAGAGCGTCCGTACATGTCTTGTGACTTGTTGCCACTTTCATGTCTTCAGAGTTGGTAGGTAAGACAATGGAGTACTAAGCGTGGTAGTGGAACGGAAAGACAACAGCATACCGGATAGAACCAGGATATAGTATTGAGGAATATTTCCAGGTAGGACAGTAGTTAATGTTAGTAGCGAACTATAAAATGGTTATGAACTTAGAGATAAAGAACTGAAAATGAAAGTAACATAAACGACCGGTATCTTTTATGCCTGGCTTTTAACAGTCAAAATAACACTCCATATACATTAATTTGCCATTGATAAACACTCTGGTAACAATAGGTACGCTTGTCTCCTCGTTAGAGTAGGAGGATGTCGTTCATCACCATACCATCATAACATGTCTCGATACACTGTGGTCGCAGACCAGTTGTTCAGGCCGTTTACATAGGAATGCTTTGGCCGTAGAGTTTCCTTAAGCGCGCTGCGTGGATCCATGGATAGAGAGACCAGCTGGTTAGGTTCGTCCAAACTAATTAGTTTCTAAACTACGTGATCAACTACGCTCGATACTGTCTTAAGTGCCATCACCGTCGATTGTCCTGTCAGTCAAGAAGTGTACATTCATTCACGATCAGTCAAACTTCCACGCACCACTTCCACATAACACAGACCACAGTACTGGTGGGACATAGCACACGGAGACAGGTGCAAAACAAAGGACATAGAACATTCATATTACATCTAGCGTGTTACATGTAAATAGAGGCACTACCATGCACACAGGCTTTTGACTCCAGCATTAAAAAAAAAAAAAAACATAGAAACACGCGTCGGGTATACATACACTATCGCACGTGAGTCGCACGTAGTCTGGCTCGGGCCTTGGTCTGGCTCTATTGTTTCTTAATTCACTGTTTACAGGCGTTTCATAAGATCACACGCTCGCAAGAAGATCATCACTTCGTTCAATATCTCAGGAAAGTCGTCACATAGCAGCGATTTTGTGCCCATGTTCGCACTGTTACAACACGAAACGTACCGCTCAGCTCTGCGAAGCGGTAGAGTGAGAGATGAGCACGGTCAATGGGAAGGATTCGAGATGTGCACGGCCGATGGTAAGGGCTCGATTGTGAAACTTGGTAGGTAGGTAGGTAGGTAGGTACCACATAACTTGAAATTACTTGACGTAATGACATGATGTGGAAAGTGAAAATGATACCTAGGTATATTGATGGAAATTTATGGACTTTCACTTAGGTACGCTACAAGAAGATTGAATTGGTCAACCAATTCAAATTCAATCTACTTGTGGAGTAAGTCTATAGATTTTCATCAATAGTTAACACTTACCATTGAAGTTACTTGCTATCATGTTGATTTGATACATAAGAACCTCATTCATTTTATTTGTATGACATGTTTGAATGCAATTTTCTCAATAAGTGAAGAAAAATGTTGGTAGTGCTCAACAACACATTGGTAGTGCTCAGCTGAACATTGGTAGTGCTCGGGCACTCCCAGGCCTATACAAAACGACGCCCCTGGGCTCGATCACCGCTCCATCGCTTCAAGAAGTCAAATGCGAACGACTTATCATGTATGTTAGACGCAGCTAATAAGTTGCATCGAAATAATCTGAGAATCTGAAGATGTTGCATTCTGCAGCATTCATAAACAAGATGCACATGGCTGATGGCAGGTCTCCGCCTTGGGAACCACCACTTTGCCGCGGCTAAGTAGTCAAATCCGCTGCGAATGACTTGCTGAAAGATACAGCTGTTGACCCTACGAAAGACGCCGAAAATGCATGCATGAGATGATTCCACATTTAGCCATTCATAATCATCTTTATTTTTACAACTAGGTATATGTTGTCAAATGTCAAGCCATCTAGCTAAATGGCGGTGTCGACTGTCGACACCATTGGGGCAACCATAGTACATCAAACAATAATCACCCTGGAAGAATCGTCAGGGGCACATACTGGATATAGTTCTTGTATTGGCATGACATGCTTTGTGTTTGAGTTGTGTGGTGGATATTTCTCGTTTAGTTTCCATACTTCTGAGAGGGCAGGATTGCAGTTCATATTGATATCATTGAGGTCAGTGCCGATGTAAACTGGTCATTTTTTTGGTTTGGTGCATTTTTTTTTTGCACTCCCATTCCGCTTTGATGCGGATTTTCTGGTCCTTTCTGAAGCATTGGTGCCGATTTTTAACTTTGGCCGGTGCGCCTTGTCACCTAGGGGCCATACTTTGCAGTATGGGGCCGAGATTGGTGGGAGCAGCCACGACTAAATTTGTAGTAAGTTGACTGCTGAGTGAGTCAGGCCTTAACCTGTGAGCTGCTGGGGGGGGGGGGGGGATTAAAGGCCCAACTTTTTAGTTGAAATAAAGAAAATGATTTACTGTCAATAAATTTAGATTTAGGTTGAGGTTAGACAGCCAAATCAAATAAATTAACATGGCAACTGCTGGTGTATCTAACCGCCAGAGCTGGGCGCGTTCCTCGATTTTCGGTAGTGCGTTAGCGTTCCTGCGTTCCTCCGGCCGCGGTTAGTGCGTTCCTGGAATAGCGTTCCTCAATTTTTTTCGCTCGGTGCGTTAGCGTTCCTGCGTTCCTGCGTTCCTCCCTCAAAAATACCGCCGAACCACGCGGCGCGGGCCCAACCAAACACGGGGCGAATCGATCACAGAATACCCAGAATGGCGACGTGGGGCAGAAAAGCAACTCGACATATCTTTTCCGAATCGAATATCTGAAATACGTTTTACCAATATCATCCGTAGGGTTTTCAACAAAAATACGACCTGCTTAAAAACAATAGTTAAGTTAAAAGATGTATCTTAGTAAAAGTTATCATATTTACTTTACACATTTAATGCCTGAAACTGAATCGAATAGTAAACATCACCACTAAAAATATTTACACATTTAATGCCTAAAACCGAATCGAATAGTAAACATCACCACTAAATCTAAGCAAGCCTTCCTCGATTCGACCGACAAGTGGCGCCTCTACCGGCAAACACACGTATTCGAGATTCAAACATTTGACACAGAGGTCATTGGCAGCAATATAATTTTTCGAGTGGTTCCGCAAGAACGCAGGAACGCTTCAAAATTTCGGGTGGTGCGTTCCTCTTACTTGCGTTCCTTTGAAAAACTTTGCGTTCCTGCGTTCTTGCGTTCCTAAAAAGGGCGGTGCGTACGTACGGAAGAACGCAGGAACGCACTAAAGGAACGCACTTGCCCAGCTCTGCTAACCGCTGGGGTACCTATTTTTCCATCCGCTACTTGCTGGAGGGGGGAGCACGGCATAGCCGATAACTAGAGAACTAGTAAGCGAAGCAAGGTGTGCAAGGCGGCAAACAAAAGAAAGCGACAAGATGCCATTGATGAGTACTTAACAGTTGAATTTTGAGGTCACAAGTCGGGTCATGGTCAGTTTTAACACCTGAAAATTGGCTTTCAGTTGAATAGACTTCCGAAACTGAAACATGCATGCATTTCAGTGTTGCACAATTCAACACTGCAATCCTGATAGATGATCCTGCACGACACGACCACTCAGTTAAATCACAATATGCAGAAAAAATAGGAGCAAAGAAAAGGATTGACAAGATACCTTGACAGTTTCCTCCAATTCAGTTAATGACGATTTATTTTCAGTTCAATTGCGACACCCCTCCTCTCTCGTATCTTCCCGGCTTATGCAATCGCGATCGAAAGCATGCAGCCAATGAGGAAATACTTTATTTTGTCGTGCTATCGCTACTTTTCTTTACAATGTTTTTGATACTTTTCCTAATTTGGCTTTCAAAATAATCTCATTTACTTTAAAATTTCCTTTTGAAATAAATTTAAGTAATTCCTCTTTTTATTTGTAATACAAAAGTGATTTTTTCATCAAAATATCTGCATTTTCTTTCACTGTCTTTATAATTCCTGGATATGGAAGTAAACAAAGGGCTTTACAAATCTAGCGCCACCAAGTCAGTTCTGGCGCCTAGCATCTTTCGCTCCTCGGCGTGTGCGTCTTTTCATTTTGTATATTTTTTCTGCAAGCTAGTTCAAGTTTATGAGCTGTTGATTCGTTTTCATTTTTATGCGCTGATTATTGTTTGAAGGACACTGGATCCTTTATTTCAAATAACACTTCATTCAGTTCAGTGTGTTTGTGCACTTGTGCAGAATGACACTTCGAGTGAAGTTGAATAATAAATTCACTATTAATCCACATTTGGTCATATTGGTGTAATTTCACTTCCCTTTCATGACACCAAAACATTTTTCATTTTGTTTGTGACAAATGAATTAAGTGTCATAAGTGCTAACTGCTGAAAATATTTATTCTGTCCGCTGTCGTCTGGTTTGCACTTTGCGTCCTAACATCAAAGCAATTCCATATAAAGGCTCTAAGATATTTGCCTGAATAAAAGCTAAATCCATGCCTAGGAGTATACCAAATCCATACCATATATTTTGCTTGCTTGTTTGCCTGACATCAGAGGTCACCAGTTAACCTGAAAGTTGAGACCTTAAAATCTGATTCCAGTTGTAGCTTCTCTAAAAGGTGCACACCTTTGTTTTTTTATACAATGCTCTAGGCTGGCTCAAGATCATCATTGAGGAGTGAGATGGGGAGGGGCCCTGTGCATGTTCCTTTGGCCTGGGTCAGGGTGGAGGTAGAAAATTGATAGGGTTGATAGACACTAGTATGCAATTTCCAGAGTGCTGAAGCAGTTTTCATAATTTAAGCATGCTATTGATCAACTGATATTGATATAGGTTGTAGGGCAGCTTCATGAGTTGTTTGGTTGTGTGAACTATCTAAGTTCACTTCAAGGTTCAAGATAGGAATTTTCCAGCAAGGTATCACCCTAGGTGTCAGTGTTATATGTGTGTCAAATACGTGTTAGAGTAATCTTTTAGGGATTCTTCTTTTCAGCTCTGATCCCAGGTAATAAAATCATGGCAGAGAACGGAGAACCAGATCTTATAGCAGATGCTGATGCCTTACCTGACGCTGGTCTAGTCAGATCTTATGATAGCCACAGGCCTCAATGTCATATACCTACTGGGATGCATAGTTGTCATACTTATCCAATGCATATGTTGGAACAATGGTAAATTCCATGCAGGTGCCAAGCTATATATTTGTAAAGGAGGAGAGCTTCCTTGGACTCACCTGTGGCCAGAAAAGGTCCCTATTTTGCTTGTTGGGTGAAACCTGGGCTTGAACTTTATGGGAATGTGTAAAGAATACCCAAAAAACAATAGGGTAGGTCAGGAAGGTACCTATATTAAATGCGGTGAGCCCCTCAACGGCCCTTTTGCTGGGTACAAACTCATTATGGTACTAATTATGAGCTTCACCCTGTATTGACCATATGTGCTCTTCAGTTTTCAGACCATAAGTAAATAAAAGCAGTCAAGATGGCTGTGGATAACTCATTGGTGGAGAAGTCTATGAGATCTGTCTTTGGTAAGTAGGTGCTAAGGTCAAGCCATGAACTCTCATGTGAATGTGTGGCTAGGTAACTCCCTCATTTTTTTTGGGGGGGGGGGTTGATCCCCCAAAAAAATTGTGGACATTCCAATTTCCAATTTTTTTATTAAAAATGTAGCTACTCCATTCCAAAATTGGAATTATGTATATCCCCCAGTATATCATGGCGCACTGGAAAATTTATTAAAATAATGTTCAATTCAATGCTGCCATGTCACAAGCTTAAGTGTCAGATTGTCAATGAATCAATCACTGCTTTGGTTATTTGTTTGAAATTCTTTAAATCTTTGCATGCTGTATGGAGTACTTTGATGGTAGATCTTGCAGGAAATAGCTTGCTTTTTTAGTTCTGAAACCTTTTTAAGACCCCTCATGATTGGTATGTCTGTTCCTTGTTTTCCTCATTTTTGATGACTTATTCTCTGCTGACAGTGGGAAACATCCCATATGAGGTGACAGAGAAGAAGCTGAAGGAAATCTTCAGCCAGGTCGGACCAGTCCTCTCGTTTCGGTAAGTTGTCAAATCCCCGGTCACTCCTGGCTACTAGATGTGAGCAGCTCGTCTTACTTGTCACTCATAACGTCTACCTATTTTGTACTTTTGCACTCTGTTCAATAACCACCATAGAAATGAGTGCTCATTTCTATGGTATGTCACTGCTCAGTGACACGTAATTTCATTTATCTGCATCTGCCGATCAGTACAGTGGAATATAATGCACAACACTGTCACGTTTACTAGTCGTATGCAAGATGTAAGTCACGGGCTCATTCCCGTGCCCTGCCATACCTAGCTTTCGGCCTACTTCTACAGACATTGAACACCGTTGCCCACTCTGAAACCCCTCCCTCCCCTTTCTCGCCATTCCAGTATGATGAACGACAGGGCCACGGGTAAGCCGAAGGGCTACGGTTTCTGCGAATACCGTGACCCGGAGACTGCTCTGAGTGCCATGCGGAACCTGAACGGAGTCGAACTGTCGGGCCGCCAGCTACGCGTGGACAACGCCTGCACGGAGAAGAGCAGGATGGAGATGCAGAGTGAGTGACTCGGATAGAGTGTGGAATGAGTGACTCAGACTGAGTGCGGAATGAGTGGCGTTGACGAATGACGAGGGCGTGGCGTGCGCTAAGTGGACGTTGCTGTACTGATGATGGGAGGAGGTCCACAGGGTTTGTGGGTGATGTGATCCACGCTGTGGCTGCCGCGCTGACAATGGGAGAGAGAGTTGTCTACAACTGGGTTAACCCTCGCCCCGTTGGGGGGGGGGGGGCATTTTGGCCCTCCCTGTGGTTTTTCCTGAATAGCAAGAAGCGCCGCCAAATTTTCAGTACCTTCCCGGGCATCAATTTGACACATTCACACCAAATTTCAAGTCTTAGGTCACCTTAGGTCAGGAGTTATTGAGGTCAAACTGAGGTCATGTTCGAGCAAAAATGAGCAAAAAACATGCAATCTTGAAACGCTCACCAAATCTACAGTTATCAAGCAATTTCAAATTTCTTTATATGGTCTAGTAGACAAAAAGCGGCGCTACAAAACTGCTATCTCGGATTTTCAAAATTTTGGGTTTTTGACCCCAAAAATTCAAAAAATTGAGTTATTCAGAAAAACAAAAAAAAATAAAAAAAATCCGAATTTCGAAAAAACGGAATATATGTGATAGTCCCTGTGCTCTTCTATATACATACCAAATTTCAGATCGATATCTCGTTTTTTTGGCCAAGTTATAGCGAAAAAAACTGTTCAAAGATGATGACGTCAAATTTTTGAACTCAATTTTTAGCGATTCTAGACCACGTACGGCAAAACAAAGACCACCATTGAACTGCCCGTGACGAGCTGCATCGATTTGATACCCATTTTATGCAAAAATATCAATTTTGAAATTTGACCTAATTTGACCTGACCTTGACCTGACCTTGACCTGACCTTGACCAAAACGTGACCTAAGCTGGCCCCATAGGCTGCCTGACCCACATAATCGCATTTGTCATGCAAAATGGACCATAAAACGTATCACACGACACTTTCATATTGTGACCCCCCAGCTGACCTTTGTGACCTGACCTGGTATCAGTGACCTCAAATAGCAAAATATGTGTTTGAAGAACATTTCCCCCATCGATGATTTTCAATGAAATGCATTTTACTCGATTTTACAACGCATTTCTTGAAATGCCTGTAAACGGTGAAAATTCGACCTTTGACCTGACCTGTGACGTCTTCGGTTTGACCTAGGTCAATAAAATTGGGTCACAAGGTAGTTCCCTGATAGGGCTATCCAACACCGTTTGCCGCTTGTCGCTAGGTTGCGTGGTTCTCGAGATCTTAGGGGGGGGGGCAAAATGCCCCCCCCTAACAGGGCGCGTTGCTCGGCAGAGCCCAACGGGGCGCGGGTTAAGGGCCATGAAATGGATATTTAATTCATTGGGGCGATCTAAATGGATAATGGGTGGGTATCGAAGTGATTTGTGGACGATTGGTAGACGTTAAAGCAGCTGATATTAGGTAACGGGTGGGTAAGTTATGCATTAAGGAAGGTGGTGGATGGAAGCGTTTAAAGTGAGTGTGACGCAGTGAAGAGTGAGGCTGGTGTTATTGTTCAGTATCTCGTAAACCCTGCTGCCACTTCCCCGTCTAATGCGCGTTGTTTCATCTAGTATCTACTAACCACCCCCGTGTCTGCTTCTTCCGTCAGCTCTGATGCAGGGTCCGGCCAGCGAGAGTCCGTACGGGGAGGAGGTGGACCCCCCGCAGGCCCCTGAGGCCATCAGTAAGGCAGTCGCCTCCCTGCCGCCCGAGCAGATGTTCGAGCTCATGAAACAGATGAAACTCTGCATTCAGGTGAGCTGGTGGGCCGTGAGAGACGGTGGTCTTCGGTCGGTGTGCGGTGAATGACTGGGTCTGTGGGGAAGTCAGCTCTGATGCCTCACCTTTACAAGGCTAGTATTGTTAACTTTTACAATAACTAGATAAGCTATTTGAAACAATTTGGTACAACGGATGGATAATCTGACCATATGTAACATGCTGCGTTGTTTACGAAGCCTCTGCAGAAGTATTTGATGTTAAGTTGGTACTCGTACTGTCACTGTCGGTTTGTTGCTTCCTAATAACACCCAACCATTGCATTGTGTGTCTAGTTGGGTGTTGACTGGTCACCACCTCGTTTGACCGCCTCTCTGTATCCATTGCAGAACAACCCGACGGAGGCTCGCACGATGCTGCTGCAGAACCCTCAGCTGGCCTACGCGCTGCTGCAGGCCCAGGTGGTGATGCGTATCGTGGACCCACAGACGGCCGCCGTGAGTTGGACGCCGTCGCCGCGCACACCCGTGCAATGTCGTTACATTTTCGATATTCGTTATACAGTGTCCCTGTTGTGACTTATGTCTTCTACTGCCGCTGCTGTATGCCTCGTCATAACACACTTTAACGGTCGTCGTCGTCGTTTCACACGAGTTTTTGTGTTTGTCATACACCCATCGCTTTTATAGTCCCCACCGTTCTGTATCATTCGGTCTGCCATCCCCGCCGTACATTCGTCGTTCCTTTGCCCTACATTCGATCGTGCCGTGTTCTCCATTCGTTCGCCCTGTACAAAGTTGTTCTCCAATGTGTCATGTGTCCATACAGTCACTACAATCGGTCATGTAGCCAACCTACGCAAGTCATGGTGTCTATCCTTGCTGTCTGGTTTCGTCACTGTAATGATCGTGTACTTAAGATGATTCAATACTTCCACTGGCTTATGTAATGGAACAGTATGTAGGCCTCATTACGGATTCATGAACGATATATTATGTAGCAGCTCTGTAAAGCTCGCCTGTCCCGTTTTCAGTCGATGCTGCACAAGTCGCAGCCGGAGCCGCCGGTGCTGAAGCCGGCTGACACACCGGCTGGTACCGCCGCCCCTGCCATCTCGGCTGCCCCCGCGCCCGCTGTGCCGGCCGCCCCCGTCCCGGCGCCCGTCGTGTCGGTGGCCGCACCGCAGCCGGCTGTAAAGGAGGGGCCGTTTGGTCCCATCGGAGGAGGTCAGTGCCCGGCTGTGAGGTGCTGGTGTCGGGGTAGAGGGGATGGTGGGTGGATCCGGCACATTCGCTGTGGCTCTAATCGGATTGTGAGTTGTAGTTTATCCTTTTTTCAGCGATATGCGGTAGTAATGGTAGCTCAAGTATCTGTCCAAATTACATAACCGCAAACTTGTCTCACGCCTGTGTTGTTTTAGTTAGAAACACAATTTAACAGTCTTTTTAACTGGTGACTGAAACTAATTGAAAGTGTAGTCACTGCCTCCACTTGACGAAGAGACGAGTCTCTGCTTACGACTTCAATCTGTCAGTCTCTAACTACGTCTTTAGTATATACGACGTCTTTAGGAATGTCTACATTACTTCGCCAGTGCAGAGATGCATCCCCGCGCGACCACACTGACTCTGATCCTCTCTCCATTCCAGGTCAGGACGTGGACTTCCGTCAGGGTCCGACGGCGCTGGCCGGCGCGCCGGCAGGAGACATGGACATGCGCAGCCTGGACCCCCGCGCGGGCGGACGCCTGGCCGACCAGGACCTCCGCATGCCGCCCAGAGGTAAGGGATGGAAAGTGGGTCGATTTTACATCAGCTCGGTCGCTGATAGGTCACTGGTCACTTGGTCAATGACAATTGAGGCTGGAAGAGGAGGAACAGGGGTGTTATTTTCTTTTGCGTTATTAAGAGCACAAGTCAATCCAGGGTAATACGAGTACGTGTTGGCTTATTTTGGTATGGATTTTTGAAGCGTTGAAGGCCGGTGTGTTTGACGAAAACTCTCAATTTCACGTGCGTCGCAATGTCGAGTAGGTACCTACCTAACATAAGAGCTGGTGGTAGCATGCATTGAGATCTTGTGGAAATGTAGCTTCGAACTTTTCCCGTACTTACTCACTATGTATTGTCACAAGTCAACTGTCCCGGGTTTCGCATCAGTCTTTCGTTTCTCACTGTTCTCCCGACTCCGCCGCAGGACCAGACATGGGCCGCGGTGGCCCGCCACCGGGTGGCCTTCGTGGCGACATGGATCTCCGCTCTGGCGACAGGGACATGCGTGGCCCGCCGCCGCCGCCGCAGGACTTTGACGCCAGGTGAGCAGGGACGGGAGTGGGATGGTTAATGGAACTTGTAATGCAAGGGCTCAATTCGGTGTGTAAGAGGGAAGGCTAGGCGTTTGGAATTTAGATGATGTCTGCGTATTTGTTTCTGTGGGGGAGGGAAAACAGGTGTGAACTGTTTGTTTTCACTTTTTCTTAACAGATCTTCATTTATGGATTTTTGCGGTCGTTTTACGCGCAGGCTGCCATGTTACCCTATAGATTCTTGCTGAGTGAATTATGTTCGGGGTCTCGGGTCTTCAGGGATCTCCGTATCTATTGGCGTCGGCCTACGTCTTATGTCATTGTTCCGCACTTCAGTCAAAGTAATCGGCTGTTTTCCGTCACTTAGCCTTTACGCTGCCCTTCCGTACGCTGACCTGGGCTGACCTCTGACAGGGCGTTCGGACGTGACCCGCGCGCGGCCGGCGCGCCGTTCGGCCGCGGATTCCCGGAGGCGCCGGCGCCGAGCCGCGACCCGCGCGACCCGAGAGACCCGAGGGAGGCGCGTGACCCGCGTGACCCGCGCGCCGCCGCCGGTCCCATACCCGGTCCCATGGCTGGTCCTCTGGCCGGTGGTGACCGTGACATGAGGGGTCCGCCGCCGGCCGCGCCCAGCCGCCCTGGACCGGACCTGGGAGCCATCAACCTGCCCGCCAACCTGGCGGGAGGAGATCAAGAAAAGGTATGTGTGAGGGCTGGAAGGAAGGGGGTGGGGCCTAAAAATGTGTAATGGGTATAGACATTTGGTAAATTTGGACGTTTAAGTGATGTAGAGGTGGTAGGGCAAATTGGTGGGTCATACCGGAGTTCTCATAGTTCCTGATTGCTATCGAGTTCTTAGTTCCTTGGGCTGTTATGACTTATATTGGGACTCAGATCAACAGCCCATGGATGAAACTTTCATGTCCGCTCACGGCTAATATTGTCGATTGTTCCCACCTTATTTGTGTATTGCTAAATCATGTCATCCCGCAATGGCAGGCATGACATAGTACATAAGCCTGACCTCTGTCTGAGCTCTGTGGCATTGTCGCTGAACTACTGTTTGTTTCCGTGTCCGGCAGGCGGCGCTGATCATGCAGGTGCTGCAGCTCTCGGACGAACAGATTGCCATGCTGCCCCCGGAGCAGCGCCAGAGCATTATGGTTCTGAAGGAACAGATCTCCAAGTCGGCCCGCTAAGCTGGCTGACCTGCGGCGGGCGCTGTCAGTTTTCCACCGGGGTCGGTTGGTGAGTTGCGGCAGAAGTGTTGCCGCATTCGTCGCATTCCCACTATGGACTCGAGTGTATCGCGAGGCAGATCATGGTGGAACGAGGAACACTGTGTCCCAATGACTGCTGGTTCCGAGCGAGACACCGCGAACATTCAAGTGGCGCGCAGCCAAGTATTGGATAGAACACGGCGCATCAATGTCCGATAGACTATGAGGTGCCATCCCGGTCCAACCCGTGTGCTGTGTCAGGTGAGAGCTGGCCCTTCCTCAGTGGCTCGACCTACCGCGTGGTCTATGTAACAGCTCTGTCCCTTGTGGGTTACGGACAGTTTAATCGGTTCAGGAGTCGACTGTCACAGGACAGGGATGGCTTTCTCCTCATAGCTGTTCACTTGTGCTCGCCTGCGCTTTGTAAATACAATGTCACACTCGCATAATCTGTTTGTTGGCGTTTTCAATGATCAGCTACAAATCAATATATGTTTTATCAGTGAATGGAAGAAACGATTTTGCTCGCATTGTACTAAAACATTTTACTGCGTGTGTATTTGAAGTTTTCCCACTCAAGTCTGATTGCACTAGGTTGATAGTTGTCGATATAAATGTAAACATAATCTACTCTTCCACGCAACAATTTTGACCGCCCACACCAAGCGCCGCGGTAACCGATGCTATCACGTCTTTTTTTTTCTTCAAAAAACACACTGACCTTCGTTTCTGTATTCAAACAAGTATTGGAATCATTGACGCGATTTGCGCGCATTACCGCCTCAAGTAGCTATTGCGGGCGGTATGAGCACCTTGCATATGCGCACAAGCGTGCATGGAACGGAGCTCGACATTACTTCACACACGCACAGTCACACAATCTGTCCCCGCATGATCGACTTTATGAGCGAGGCACACCTCTCGGCAGTTCGACACTGCTACAGCGGCTCCTGTAGATAATAACTCGAACGGAATGCATTACACTCGTGGACGGAGGCGGCCCACCGCAATATGCGCAGCGTCGCGCGTCGAGTAGCGCGGGGCAGCTCAAAGGCAGCACTGGACGTTACACTTGCGCGTCATTCCGCGCTCGTCACGTCGATTCATGAGAACGGCTAACCTAGCTACGACTAAACATTTGCTCAGCTAAACGCGACTGGTCCCGCTGTCTGAGTGAGGCGCCGTCCTCTGGCGACACTTGAGTTTGTTCGCCCACGATCAGATCGGCTAGCACTCGGCACTCACCCGCTGGCACTCATCTGTTGGCACTCCTGCACTCGCACAATCACTCGGCATCTGTATCACAAATAGTCTGCGGCCGGCCGCCGGCGGTGCCTACCTCCGCCGGCGCAGGTCGTTGCTCTGCTCGGCGGCTTCTCTCAGCGCCTCGTCCAGCAGCGCCTGCCCCGACTTGGACGCTCCCTTCGGCTTTACGGCCGGCTCAGCCGCCTCTGACGGCGGCGTGGGCGACGCTGAACTTTCAGAAGATGACTCGGACGACGCAGCGGCTTCGGCAGGCTCTGAAGTCTCTTCAGTTGGCGCTGGTGCTGCCTCGGTCACAGTCTCGGCAGCAGCTTTAGTTTCAGGGATTTCAGGCTTCGTGACTTCCGTTTTAACCTCAGCAGCCTTTTCGACAGATTCGGCAGCAGCCTCAGCTACAGCCTCTGCCGAAGTTTCAGCAGCAGCTTCCTTTTCTGGCTCGACGGGCTCGGCAACAACTTCCTTCTCAGGCTTAGTAGAAGATTCCTTTCTAGTCTCAGCAGCTTTGGTTTCAGGCTCTGCAGCAGCTTCCTTCTCGGGCTCAGCAGTGTCTGTCACAGCCTGGTTCCGGCTCTGGCGTTCCCTCTGGTTACGGTTTTTCCGGTTCCGGTTGCGCTTACGTTTCCTCGTCGTGCGAGGAGTGGTCGTGGCAGCTTCCTTCTCAGGCTCAGCAGCCTCAGTCGTAGACTCAGCAGCTGGTTCCTTCTCGGGCTCAGCAACCTCAGTCGCAGACTCAGCAGCTGGTTCCTTCTCAGGCTCAGCAACCTCGGTTACAAGTTCGGCAGCAGCTTCCTTCTTGGGCTCAGCGACCTCGGTTACAGGATCGGAAGCAGCATCCTTCTCAGGCTCAGCAACCTCGGTTACAGGCTCGGCAGCAGCTTCCTTCTCAGGCTCAGCGACCTCGGTTACAGGCTCGGCAGCAGCTTCCTTCTCAGGCTCAGCGGCAGCTTCCTTCTCGGGCTCAGCAACCTCGGTCACAGGTTCGGCAGCAGCTTCCTTCTCAGGCTCAGCAACCTCAGTTACAGGCTTGGCAGAAGCTTCCTTCTCAGGCTCAGCGACCTCGGTTACGGGCTCGGCAGCAGCTTCCTTCTCAGGCTCAGCGACCTCGGTTACAGGCTCGGCAGCAGCTTCTTTCTCAGGCTCAGCGGCAGCTTCCTTCTCGGGCTCAGCGACCTCGGTTACGGGCTCGGCAGCAGCTTCCTTCTCAGGCTCAGCGGCAGCTTCCTTCTTGGGCTCAGCAACCTCGGTTACAGGCTCGGCAGCAGCTTCCTTTTCAGGCTCAGCAACCTCAGTTACAGGCTCAGCAGCTGCTTCCTTCTCAGGCTCAGCAACCTCGGTTACAGGCTCGGCAGCAGCTTTCTTCTCAGGCTCAGCAACCTCGGTTACAGGCTCGGCAGCAGCTTCCTTCTCAGGCTCAGCAACCTCAGTTACAGGCTCAGCAGCTGCTTCCTTCTCAGGCTCAGCAACCTCGGTTACAGGCTCCGCAGCAGCTCTCTTCTCAGGCTCAGCAACCTCGGTTACAGGCTCGGCAGCAGCTTCGTTCTCAGGCTCAGCAGTGTCTGCTACAGGCTCGGCAGCAACTTCTTTCTCAGGCTCAGCAACCTCAGTTGCAGGCTCAGCAGCTGCTTCTTTCTCAGGCTTAGCAACCTCGGTTACAGGCTCGGCAGCAGCTTCCTTCTCAAGCTCAGCAACCTCGGTTACAGGCTCGACAGCAGCTTCCTTCTCAGTCTCAGCAACCTCGCCTACTGGCTCGGCAGCAGCTTCCTTCTTGGGCTCAGCAGCCTCGGTTACAGGCTCGGCAGCAGCTTCCTTCCGAGGCTCAGCAGCGATTTCCTTCTCGGGCTCAGCCGCTGGCTCGGCAGAAATTTCCGTCTCAGGCTCAGCCGCTGGATCGGCAGCAACTTCCTTCTTGGGCCCAGCAGCCTCGGTTACAGGCTCGGCAGCAACTTCCTTCACAGGCTCAGCAGTAGCTTCCTTCTCAGGCTCAGCCGCTGGCTCTGCAGCAGCCTCCTTCTCGGGCTCGGTCGATGGCTCGGCAGGAACTCCCTCCGGCTTAGGCTCAGCGGCCGGCTCGGCAGGAACGTTCTTCTCGGGCTCAGCAGCCTCGGTTGCAGGCTCGGCAGCAACTTCTTTCACAGGCTCAGCAGTAGCTTCCTTCTCAGGCTTGGCCGCTGGCTCTGCAGCAACGTCCTTCTCGGGTTCAGCGGCAGGCTCGGCAGGAACGTTCTTCTCGGGCTCAGCAGCCTCGGCTGCAGGCTCGGCAGCAACTTCCTTCACAGGCTCTGCAGCAACTTCCTTCTCGGGCTCAGCGACAGGCTCAGCAGGTACTTCCTTCTCGGGCTCAGCCGCCTTGGTTACAGGCTCGGCAGCGACTTCTTTCTCGGGCTCAGCAGTAGCTTCCTTCTCAGGCTCGGCCGCTGGCTCTGCAGCAACTTCCTTCTCGGGTTCAGCGGCAGGCTCAGCAGGTACTTCCTTCTCGGGCTCAGCCGCCTTGGTTACAGGCTCGGCAGCGACTTCCTTCTCAGGCCCAGCAGTAGCTTCCTTCTCAGGCTCGGCCGCTGGCTCGGCAGCAACTTCCTTCTCAGGCTCTGCCGCTGGTTCGATGACAACTTCCTTCTCAGGCTCAGCCGCTGGTTCGGTGGCAACTTCCTTCTCAGGCTCAGCCGCTGGTTCGGTGACAATTTCCTTCTCTGGCTCCGCTTCCTCGGTAGCAGGTTCACCATTACCGGTGGCGGACTGATCAACGACGATCTCTGTCTGAGCAGGCTCAGTAGCAGAAGCCTCTGTGGCAGGCTCAGCACCCGTTTCCGCGGCTGGCTCTGAAGAAGTCTCGGCACCGACTTCAGTCTCAGAAGCAGTCTTAGCCGCCACGTTGACATCAGTCTCAAGCTCAGGTGCCACCCTGGCTTCCGGCTTGGGCACAACATCCACCGAAACCTCGTTTGCGGCCTCGTCCTTTGCTCCAACAGCGGCCTCTGCACCCACCTCGACCGACACCTCATTGATGGCCTCGTCCTTTCCGTCCTTCAGCGTCGTCACTTCGGCACCTTCTTTCGGCACCGTCGCCTTGGCACGCTCGGCCGTCTCCGGCGCCTGTTCGGCCGTCTCGCTGAGGACCTTGGCGCGCCGCCGGTCGTCGAGGCTGTTGTTGACGACAGGCAGCAGCTCTGCCTCGGCGGTCCGCTCGCCACCCCGGTGCATCTCGTCCTCGGCCAAGCTGGGAGGGTTCACGGGCTCCTCGGGCACCTCGTTCGCCTCGGCGTCCGCAACCGTCGGCAGCTGCGGCTCACTGGACATGGTGGGCTCGGCGCCCTCCACAACGTTCTCCTCGGCAGCTACTTCGTTTTCACTGGCGGCTGGTTTGGGGGAGGTCTCTGCCTCCGCGGACGATGAGCCCTCTGTAGCTGGCTCGGGCTCGGGTTCAGCGGTCGGTTCGGTGGCAGATGCCGGTTCTTCTGAGGGTTTGGAATCAGCACCGGCTTCTGGCTCAGGTTCCGCTGTGGTCTCCTGCTCCGGCTCCGCAGTGGTTGCCTCAGCATTGCTGCTTTCCCACTCGGGAACGATGCCCATCGCGTGCATCATGTCCAGCTTCTCGTCCAGACTCAGCTGATCGGCAGCCGATGCCACATCCGGCTCCAGAGACGGCTCAGGCTCAGCCGTTGGCTCGGGCTCAGAAGTTGGCTCAGGCTCAGCCGTCGAATTAGGCTCAGCTGTTGGCTCAGGCTCAGCAGTTGGCTCAGACTCAGAGGTAGACGTCTCGTCGATGACTTGGGAGCTACTCTTGACCTCCTCAGCTGTCGCGTCCAAATCGAGGGCGTTGCTGGCGTCCGGTGTTATTGTGGTTTCCGGCTCCGGTTCGGGTGTGCCCTCTGGTTCCGGCTCTGGCGTACCCTCTGGCTCCGGTTCCGGGGTGGTTTCCGGCTCCGGCTGCGCCATCGTAACCTCGTCGTGCGAGTGGTGCTCGTGATCGTGCAGCCAGTTGTCATGCTCACCAAGAGTCTCCGAACCATCAGTCTCGGTTGTTGGCTCCGGTTCAGGCTCTGCCGTGGCTTCGGGTTCCGGCTCGGCTGTAGTCTGTGGTTCCGCCTCGGTTGTAACCGCGGGTTCCGGTTCCGGCGTGGTTTCCGGGGCCATCTCGGTGGTAGTCGTCAGGATCACGGGCTTCAGAGTCTCGTTGGCCAGCACCCAGGCGTGTCCGTTCCACCGGGAGATGAGAGGAGGCACTGGAAATAACGGAGGCCGTCAGTGTCTGGTTAATTGTTGAAGCTAACATGCGGCAAACTGAACTCCGGCACAGTGGTTCTTGATGACATTACACAATGAGTCTGATCTAGAAATGGTCATAAAACATAGTTTTTCTGATAAAATAAACTCGCTGCCTATCATTAAAGTTCACGATAAAGTGCGACAACCGCGTAAATAAATGTAGTGATTCATCAACACACTGACTCGCTCATCCTGTCCAAATTGTCAGGTCAACCATGCGTTTGATGACACCCTGCAGGCTTGACAGACTTGCAGGCTACGCACTCGACAAGGTCATCAGTGACAGCTCTCAGGTTCGGCAGCCTCACCTGATTCTATGCGCCTGCAGGTGAGCTGATCGCCGGCGAGCTCCATGGCCTCGGGGCAGGCACAGCGGAACTGATCATCAGCCGCCGAGTAGTGGCACTTGTGGGAGCAGCCCGACTCGCCGGTCGCACACAGGTCTCTCAGAGCTGCGAGACGGGAAATAGTGCGGGTCAGTGCAAGCTTGGGCTCAGAAAATTATTAAACATAATCCTATCCATTAGTTACGCCGATTTCAAACAACCTGCTCTTATATATTATAAATTGACCAACAAATATAGTTATGTACTCAGTCATTCTTGCTAGAGATCCTTAATAACAAGCTTTTTCTCAAAAGGAACACATTCTAAACATTTTATACAATAGCATAAGCCCGGCCCTCCCAACATCGTCTACATCGTCTTCAACATCGTCTACTTACGTTCCACGCCGATCTGCGAGACGGGGAAGCGTGCTCCGTGGAACTGGAGGCCCTCGGTGCTGGTGAAGTAGTCGGTCAGCCGGTCCTGCAGACGGCGGGCCGTCTCCTCGGGCGCAGCAGAGCCCGTGTCGCCCGTGGTGATGTGGAAGAAGATGACCACGCTGCCCGGCCTGCGGGGACAGGGGGAGTTGGTCAGGTTGGAGCCGAGAGAAGTGGAATGGTTCCATGCTGGTAGGTACAGTCTTAACTCACAAGGCCGAATCACTTGTACTTAAATGTTGAAGCCGTTAAAACGTTTACTGAGAATGATAAGCAAATTAATTTTGCTAAATTCCTTCCGAATAGATTAAACCGTTAGAATGCGATCTAGACCATTGTTTCTTTTAACATTATCTTTTAAGCTTTCCGGTGTTAAGTCGCGAATGTAATGAAAACCTAATGTCAATATTGAGCATATGGTGCAGACTTACTCGAACTTGCGGATTTTGATGCCGATCTGACCCAGGTCGTCTCCCTCGGGCCAGTTGAAGCTGGAGAAGGCCTCAGCCATCTGTGAAACAGGACACGTCAAACTTAGATGTGTCGTCGGCTAGCCTGCTATAAGTCCAAACAAGGGCACGACATTTCAGGCTGGTAGACGTAAGAAGCAGCTTCATTCTCGATAGTGGAAAGTTAACTAGAGCGGTAGAGATACGTTTACACATCTCATTCTCAGATTGACGAAACTTATGAATGCTTTCACTTCAGGGTAGGTAGTTGCAAGCTTATGTGATAGTTTTTAGGAATCTTTGAACATTTCCATTCAGCCACTCACCTCCTTCTTGACCCTGACAGTCATCCTGAGGAAGTCAGCTGACGTGTTGTCCTTCAGACCCTCAGGGAACTCCTCCTCCAGAGTCATGGTCGCGTTGAATATGGACCGAACTGGAACAGAAACAAAGGCGTTACATGACAGGAACGACCTGCATCAATAACTAAATGCATCAGCACTTCGAAAACGCAAAAAAAACTTAATTCATACATAGATTCAGAGGGCGAAACTAAGAAGTCACGCAGACCCTTCCTTACCTGCCGGTGCTGGACTTTCATCCAGTTTAGGAACGCGGCCGGTGTCGAACGTCGTCTTCAGCTCCAGTTCAGGCTCGACGGTGGTCGGCTCCGGCTCGGGCTCCGCTGTAGTTTCCGGCTCCGGCTCCGCTGTAGTCTCCGGCTTTGGCTCAGCTGTGGCCTCTGGCTCCGGCTCCGGCTCGGGTTCGGCTGTAACTTCGGGCTCGGGTTCGGCTGTAACCTTCGGTTCCACTGTTGTCTCTGGCTCAGGCTCCGCTGTTGCTTCAGGCTCAGGCTCTGCAGTTGTCTCCGGCTCAGGCTCCGGCTCTGCCGTTGTTTCTGGCTCAGGCTCCGGTTCCGCAGTCGTCTCTGGCTCTGGCTCCGCTGTTGTCTCCGGTTCATCAAACAGTCCTCCGAGCACCGAAAGATGGTCCTCCACCATGGTGTCAGGCGTTACAGTGGTCTCCGGCTCTGGTTCCGACTCCGGCTCCGGCTCAGCTGTCGTCTCCGGCTCCGGCTCCGGCTCTGCTCCCACCGTCGCGTCCTCCCCTCCAAACATCCACGGGTCGGTCTCCGTGGTCTCCGGCTCCGGCTCCGGGGTCGTCTCGCCGTCCTCGTGGACCCACTCGTGGTCCGGGAACAGGCCCGTCGCGGTGGTCTCCGGCTCCGACTCCGGGGTCGTCTCGCCATCCTCGTGCATCCACTCGTGGTCCACGGTGTAGGGGATGTCGGGGTGCAGCGCGGCGCCCAGGTGCGGGTCCTCGATCCGGTGGATCTCCGGCACAGCCTCTGTGACCACCGGCTCTGGGGAAGGAACACGTCAAGCTGGTTAGCAGGGGCGTGTCAGGACTGACATTGGAATATGTGTTATATCTGTTCATTTTTTTTCAACGAGCCTTACAAGACACGACTTGATTTACAATTTCATTTTTTTTCGGCTCCCTGAGGGACGGACAAAAACATACTTTATCATATTTATGACCTATAATACGACATAAAAATTGCTTGACCTAAGGGATATTGATGAAAAATTGTAAATTAGTTAGATGATAACTACTTGTCATTATCAAACGCATATCATCAATTTTCACATTATGTAAAGCACGTTCCTCTGCCACAAACCGTCCTTTCCATCCAGCCTTCCATTTCCTTGTAGTGTGGCCTCAGCGACCTACCTGGGAAGACGCAGGTGCGTCCATCCTTGTCGACCTCCATGCCAGACGGACAGAGGCAGACGAACGACATACTCGAGTAGGAGAACTGACAATCGTGCGAGCAGCCCGACTGGTGCGTGGCACACAGGTCCTCCATCGCTGCAGCGCGAAAAAATGTCGGTCAGAGTTTAGACTTCCGCGCGTGGACTAGCCGTTTCTTATAGGTAGGTATCTTAGATAAGCCCATTTGGCGACATTAAATGAGCGAACGAATCAACTAGTTTTGTGCATTTTTCCACACTTCTAAGTGATGGAACAAATGCAAGTCAACATAGTTGATATACCGATAGGTGCATTTGGTATTGGTAATCTGTATTACGTCTGACATGTTCGACATTTCCCCTCCCCTGCCCCTTGCCCATCCTTCCGTATCCTCCCCATTCATTCCTGCTGCACTCACGGGTAATATCCACTTTGGAAGCGGTGATCGTGGCAGTTGGCGAGGTGGTGACCTGTCGCAGACGCTCCTGCAGGCGCTGGCCGGCCTCCTGGGGAGTCAGCGACTCAGCGTGGTGGGAGAGCAGGGTGAACTCAGCCACCACGCTGCCTCGCCTGTGGAACGGGAGGGACGAGTCGTGCAGGGTAGAAGTCAGACAGGAAGCGCTGTATCTGCCGGACAGGTGCGAGCGCCATACACCGCGGGGTGACAGCTAATTTTTCGGTCCGTGGCTCCATTGAATCAAGTTGCGAAGGAAATGAGTTTCGTGACGGGTTGCCGAGGAAAAAATACAGACAGGGAGGTGCGCTGAAGTGTCAATGAACGGCAAACGTCTTATGCATCATACCACTTATGTCCTCGGGAAGACCCAAACCCCTTGAGCAGTCTGGTGGGAAGCTTTGAGGATTACTCACTTTGTCCGAAGGATCTTACGTCAGAAAAGAACAGCCATGCTATAGATGCTTGAATTATATTGCTACGTGCTGGGCTATGGATAATTGTCGCTCCCTTCCTATGTCACAAAGTAGCAGAACTATGAATCGCGGTTGATGGGATGGTAACTGGAAATCCAGGACGTAAACGCCTGTATATATGTAGATACGAGTACTCACGTGAATCGGGTAACGGTGGCGATGACTGATCCCATGTCGTCACTTCCCTCGGGCCAGTTGTACGGTGAGAACGCCTCGTTCAGCTGTAAAAGGCATATAAATAGGTGTAATGCAGCATGTCAATAACAGGGATTTATAACGTTTATCGTTAGACTTTTAACGTTATATTGTTTTCATATAGATAGTTACTATAATAGTAATTTTTAAGCATTGTTAAATGCACGTTTTGTTCATTGCATAAGGAAATGGGTGAAAATATTCCATAATTACTAATTATTCATTAGCAACAGCGTCGCGCAACACGACAAGCGAGCCGAAGAAAACGACTTCAAATTTTGCCGTCAGATGTCACTAGCAGTGAACGCCTGAATATATGCTGTGCCGCAAGGTCGGAACTCGGAAGTCAAACTGTAACGCTGCGCTCCGCTCTGGGGGATTGGTGGAAGATCGGAAAACAGAACAAAAACTATCTAAGATTCGTCCAAACCCTTATCTCTTCCTTTAAATAGGACATTTCTTTTTACGGAGCGAGCGAAGCGAGCGTAGTCTTTCCTTAGATTAACGGAAATTTCTGAGTATGAGCGGCCGGCCGGCCGGCCGGCCGGCCGTGGTCACGCTTTTGCGAGGCTTATATCTCAGCAACCACTTGACCGATTTACACGCGGAAATTTTTGTAGGGTAGCTTCATTCCTTCTACCAAGTATTGGACTATTCCCGATGCATGTGGGTGACCCCTTATGCACGTGCCACGTGCAAAACGAAGAGGTGTCACTTTTGTAATTGTTGCAATATCTCGCTAACTACTTGGCCGAATGCGCTGAAAGTTGGCATGTAGGTAGGCACCCACTAGGCACTGCATATGCATGTGCCAGAGTTGGGGTGCTGCTGCACGTGCGCACGTGCAGGGGTCGTTTCCAGATCTCGGGAACGGCTGGACCGATTGCGCTCAAATTTGGTACACGGTTAGGGACCGGTTAGTAGGGTGCCGTGCACAAGTCAGTTGGGACCCATTTTGCACGTGCGCACGTGCAGGGTGCCGCTTCCAGATCTCGAGAACGGCTGGGCCGATTGTGCCCAAAGTTGGCACATCGCTAGAGACCAGTTAGTAGGGTGCCGTGCACAAGTCAGTTGGAGGTACCCCCTCGCAATTTCGCACGTGCAAGGCCCACCCTCTCGCTCGCTCCGTTAGTCGCCCCAAAAGGCGTTATACTGGTTTATACCATCGCTGATGGCTGATGCCATCAAGAATGACTAGGCGCAGCATCGGAGAAAAGATCAGCTGAAGTTGATATGATTCCGATAACGGGTAAACAAATAATTATTCACATCACTAGAGGTTTTGAAGACAGAGCACATCGTATGCTTCATGGCATGCAAATACTACTTAAAACTCTTGGCAACGGTCCTACTTACCAAATTTTCCACCTTGCTCTTCATACGGCTGAACTCCCGCGATGAGTTGTCGTATAGCATTGGATGGAACTCTTCATTCAGTCGCAACGAACCAGTGAATACGTCGTCAACTGAAACAAGAAAAGCCGCTTTGAAAACACCTTGTTTAATATTTCTTATATTTAAGTATTTCGCCTTAGCGAAATATTTTGCTAGGGTAAACCATCCTTATGAGTAGAAAAGAAGGCAAATAATTACACTCATTGTATACACTATTTTTTAAACATATTTGAACAACTCTGTCTTCGCATGTGAATACCAACCATGAATATTACCAACTCTGGCGAATGCTGTAAACCTGACTCAAAGGTTGACTCGACGATTGACCTGAATGCGGTACCTACCGATGGGCGGCGGTGGCAGCGGCGGCAGCGTCGTCGTCGGTCGCGTCGGAGGTCGTTTGAGGCCGGACTGGGCGTCAGTTGCCGACAGGGTGCCATTTTCCGCCACTGAATCGTCGGCTCCATAGAATGCACCGGCTGTGAGCGAAAGGTTGGATCAGACGTCAGACTGAGTCCCATTAGTAGGTTTATGAAGATCCACCGATCATAAACTGACTGATAAACCTATCACCTCAGTGCCTAACCCTACCTATGCATTTTATTTATCACCATGAACATCCCTTGAAACATTTAAAACAAATAAGTTCACTTCATTGCGAGGGTATCATCTCGTGATATCTCCGTGTCTCGTGTGTGCCGTCAGCATTCTGCCCCCTCTCTTCCCCCTCCGGATGTGGCGGTGGCCGTGCCAGGTACGCCCCCCCCCCCTCCGTGACCACGTGGTCAGCAGGGGGGGGGGGATTCGACCTTGACGGCCGCAGTGGCTGGCCGGCTACTGGGCCTCGAAACGGGGACGGTCTTCGTGCATCGGGAAGGGATGGAATCTGCAGCAGATTCTGGGACTGTTTTCCTAAACCGGTTATACTAAGGCATATTATGAGGGGAGTGGCGTATAGGTATAGGTATAAGTGAGCTAGGCATTAACCCTCGCCCGCACATGCCATTTTCCCATCCTAGAACGCACATGGGGGGGGGGGGTGGTTGCCACCCCCCCCGCGCCATTTCGTTCCTGTTGGAGATAGAGCTTAGCAGTAAAGACCAAAAAGATTCTTTGGGAAGAGACGAATCCAATGATACCCAGTTTTACCTTCTCAGGTCAGTCATTGACCTTCCAGGTCAGGTCAAACTAAAAAATGTTGCTGTTTTGGGTCACCGTTGGATATCAAGTGCGCTGCTTATCAAATACCGATGACGATGCTGTTTTCTGGTGCCAAGCCAGCTAGAACCTCTTTTTCACACTATCCGACCAGAATTTTGCTGCTGAGGTCATTTCAGGTCAAGTAAGGTCAAGGTCAATTATATGTGTTTGTATGTCTGTGTGTGTCTGTGTGTATACTGATGTGTGCACCGATTGTTTTTGGGTCCATATCACATGAAATCATGATCTGAGAAGCTTTTACCAAAAATGCAGTCAAAAAACTTCACAAAAAGTAAATTCAGCTTGCCTAAAACGCAATTATCTTAGATGACCTAGGTTGACCTTGACCCTGACCTTGACCCCTGTACATCGTCGAACAACATGTTCCATGATAGGTGGGAGGTAAGACTGGCAAAAAAGGCCGAAATCAGGGTGTCAAAAGCTCACAAGGCCCATGGCAAACGCAAGATGTTGAGAATTGGCCATTTGGGTCATGACATGACCTGAAAAACAAGGTCATATCTCCGAAACCAAAAAGCACAGAAACTTGAAATTTTCAGTGGACATCAAGAAAGGATAAACGAGCAGCTATACGAAAAATCAGCTTTCTAGCTCTAACAATGTTGAGTGCAGAGCAGAAAGACTGCCTGGGGGGGGGGGGGGTGGCAACCACCCCCCCCCCCATGTGCGGGCGAGGGTTAACATATTCGGTAAGAACAGAGGCAGGGATGTCCCAGAGGATATGACTTGTGTTGTGTTTTTGTTATTAAGAAAGTATCAGCGTTTGTTGTAGATATTCTGACATTCCGTATTATCAAGCCTTTACCTATTTATTTCAGGTTGATCCCAAACTGCCCATTTAACTGTTATGGATGTCGGCTGAATGCATTTGTCCTTACTTTACTGTCACAGCCAACGCCAACTTTGATAAATCATCCATACACACCCGTGCCTTACTCCCCACATGCATTCACGATAGTGAGCTGAAAGTTTGCCACACTTACTGGAGAGCAGAATGATGAGCACGATGACGGCGAAGATAACTGCTAGGATGATACCCCAGCAGAGGTAGCGCTGCTTTGTCGAGCCTTCCACCATTCGACCTCCTGGGTAATATTTCTCCCCTCTGAAAAAACAATAAGCAAGAGTGAGATTATACGAAACGACGCTTGAAGGGTCAAGTTCCAAGGATTTCCCTCCATCCTTATACCCAAACGACACATTTTGCGCCATTCATTCAGTAATCTATTTTAACATTTCGAGTAGCTTCTTGGATCAATATCACCTCAAGTCTGCATAAAGCAAATGGCACTGTCATCCTGTTTGGCAAATGGCGTCTTGCTTCAGACGAGCACTTATCACAGGAAAGTTTCTGAAAGCCCAGGCTTTCTCGATAAATCATGAGTTTAATTGCATTGTTTATCCCGTATGGTCATATTGGTAGAACGTCACGGTGGATATAAGCCCGTCAAACCGTGATTTAGTGCTTATGATGTGTCGTGCGGCTGCCTGGCCACGGAGCGGATAAGTCGATAGCTGGTTTGATGATGTCATGATTTGCAGACGACGAGAATCAATTAGAAAAGCAAGGTAGAAAGGTTCGGTAACAGCATCCCGTCGTATGCTGGAAGCCGGAACTGGTACTTCAGCATATGCATAGCTAATGCCTCATTCCTTGCATACTTCTTGCACTGGAAATTTCAACCGTAGGTCAGAGCTCGGCAAGACCTTGTTCCTTGTTATTTAGGCATTAGGCATGCATGCATACATATGGATAATGCATCCCATAGACCATCCCATAGATTCGTTTGATCTGAAGAAGCTGACACCGTGTTTCAGACGAGCGCCAACTGGTATGTAGAGAATCGGTACCTAGCTATCGGAATGGGCATTTACGGCGTCACAAAAAGTGTCTGGTATCTGTATATCACGCAAGGTCAGTAATCGCCTCATCCGAGTTCCTTGACTGCCAGGCATTGTCGCTGTGTCGTCCAAATATGCCTGGTAGGTGAGCCGCGTTCCAACTTCCAACGGTTCGGAGCTTATGGAGAGAGAGAGAGAGGGAAGGGCTAGGGATAGTGACGGAGAGAGAGAGAGAGAGAGAGAGAGAGAGAGAGAGAGAGAGAGAGAGAGAGAGAGAGAGAGAGAGAGAGAGAGAGAGAGAGAGAGAGGAGAGAGAGAGAGAGAGAGAGAGAGAGAGAGAGAGAGAGAGAGAGAGAGAGAGAGAGAGAGAGAGAGAGAGAGAGAGAGAGAGAGAGAGAGAGAGAGAGAGAGAGAGAGAGAGAGATAGAGAGAGAGAAGAGGAGGGATAGAGAGAAGAGAGAGGAGCGGCGGGCGATGGCGGTAAGTGGGCGCGTGACTGCCGTGGAGGCCATGACCTCGTCTGTCCACCCTTCCTTCCGCTCACGTTCTGTCAATCTTTGGTGACGTTACGAAATGAGCAAACGTCAGCCAGCGATCACAAAACGGCAAAACTGCACAGCTCACAGCGCAGAGTCCAACCGTCATGGGTAGAGCGCAGGCCGATCTCACATGTTGGCATCAAGGTAATTAGTGACTTTATCTATGGAGTACTGGATGCATATTTCTTTAAACGAAATTCAAATCACGCTTTTAATATCAAATAACATCAAATAACAATAACATACATCAAATAACATGAATTCCTATGATGACAGGCGTCGAGCGTTTCGGTATAAACCTATCTTCATGGCGCATACCTAAAAAGACTCGGGCAAGAATGAGGAAAGCGACGTAAAAACTTGGCGGAGCCCCGCCTACTTTG